CCCAAGTTGTATAGTGGATAAAAACTTTTCTTCATTGTAGTACTCCGTTTCGACAAGGGGATGTGAAAAAATCTGCAAAGGTTTTTCTCTCGGGGCCTTAAAGCTCCTTCCTCAACTAAGTAGTATCTACGGGGACGTTCTGTGACTTTTCGTTCTGATATTTTGCTAGGAGAGCTGGGTTAAATTACAGGGCAAATAGTAATGAAATTCTGAATCAATATATAATAAAATCTGCGTCGAACCAACAAACGTGCTAACTTTTAACTTTGTTGCCCACGCTCACAAATTTAGCGTCTTTTGTTCAGCTACAGGTCTGTTTTCACCTGTCTTAAATATCGAATTCTGCATGAAACTTTTTTGCGTACTAAACTATCGTACTTACTTCTCGTATGTTTTTCATATCAATATTTCTTCATTGGATAAAATTGAATAAAAGATAAGACTTCATCCTTTGAGTCTATAACATGCATTTTGACTTAACTTGGTTCGAAAAATAACGGATCTATCGTCAATAGCGGCCTCAATAGTAGAAGTATTCAGTTCACATTCCATTACGAGGCATTTTGGCTACAAATCCACCTACCGTGCCTGGGGTTCTCTTAGATTATCCAATGAGAATATGAGGGATGAGATTCAGCAACTTGTAGCATATTATCACACGAAAAATACTTCTCCCATACTTCCCTCACGTCGAGTAAAACATCTGTAGATGAACAACCAGTCTCGACTAGAAAAAGTGGCATCACCGGCTGAATCAACATGCTTTCATATGTTTTCCTTCGTCAGGACTGACGAATTTATCATGGGTGCTCAGCATGTGTCATTGAAAACCTGAGAAGTATTGTGTATCTTATTCATTTTGTGAAAATTGTTGGCAAAGTATATCCGTTTGATTTTGGTACTCAAGCGGTTCAGTTCACTGTCTCGCTAAGAACCCTATGATTTTACGTTTGAACACTGCCACCACCACCGAACTTCGGTGATTAGTAGCTGCGCAAATACTCGGATCGATATCAAACCTATTCTACTGAAGCTTTGCACAGTTTCCCACTACAAGTCCTTGGGATAATTGAGTTTGTTGCCAAAAATGAACAGCAGATTCTCACGGGATTAGAAGTTTTGCTGTTTGATCAGATACGGATGTGCAATAAGGATAATTCCGATTAATTACATCTCAGTTGTACTAATTTGTCACCTCTGTTTAGGTACTTAATGTCATTTTATCCAACCATGATTTAATTGGGAGCGCACCATATGAACCGATTACCAAATGATGAGGTGCACAACTTCTCAAACCGGACGCTAAAGCACTCAGACAGCACAAACAGCCATTGCCATCGAATGGTAGCGTTTCATGTCTGTCCTTTGCAAGCGACTCAAAGTGGAACAGCTCCATTGTTACATAACCGCGGATTTTATTTGCACACTTCGCGAGACAAAAAAACAGAAAGGAGTAGTGCATGCCGACTTTCGATCACGCGAATTGGCAAAAGAAAGCACTCAGGATGGGTAGATAAAAGCAATTATGGTAAAACAACCTGTAATACGGGCTACTTAATCTCATATAAAGCGTGTTGGGAAAGAAAGCAATTTCCATCTTGCAATCTCTTTAACAACTGTCTATGAATGGATTTCTGTTTTTGTCCCTTATGCCGGTTTGCTCCGGTTTATCCGAGTGATAACAAAAGGTGGCTTATTAAATGATTACAATTAGCTGATCGCGTATTTTTTATGAGTAACATGAGTAAAAAAGAAATGAAAACTACTTTCATTCATAATTAAATGTAGTATGATAAAAAATAGAACAATGAGAACAATTAATTCGATTAGTTTTGTCCACTGAATGGTCAAATGCTAACCATTCAGAACACTTCCCAATCATCGTAGGTTTCGTTTTCAGCAGATATGGGCGCGCCTGTGCCGTCTGTGGTCAGTGAGCTTTTGTTAAGTGCGACGCACCCATTCAGCTTTACACACCTATACGGAACCATTTCGGGTCTTTGAGAACAGAAACAGGTGTGTAAAAGAACAAGCGGAGCAAACTAATAGACAGCCTGATTAAACAGTACCTGATTTACTGATTACCATCACGGCTTTGTAATCTGCCATTCGCAGTGGTACTTTTACAGGCTGAACGAGTAACTATTTCGGTACCTTTTAGAACGCTGAAGATTTTCAACCAGGTAGTAAATACATTGTATTGTAATCGTGACTTCTATAAATATAGTTACGAGATTTTAATTAAAAATATGTCCAGAGGAAACTAATTCACCTTAGGAACATTTGAGAAAATTTGCAAAATCCTGTTCTTTCTCAACCAGAATAAAGCTAAGGAGCGCTTCCTAGATTTAAGATTTGTTTTTGCGTGAAAGAACGTAGCGGCATTTGAGTCTCTCACATGGATGGGAACAACAAGAAAATGAATCTGTTCGCAGTAGATGAGTAGGATCCACAAGAAACCTATGCGCAAACTTTTCTGTGTTCAAATAGCGTTCGCACAGATTGGTTATCAACTCCTCCGGCAGGATTGATAAAACCCCATGAGACTAGTGAACATCACTAAGCGTTTACTAAATGCCTGATCTCAAATCTATTTCAAACTAATGAATACCAATGAGTCTTATCAGAATTCAAACGGGTATCATGGGTTCGTCAATCACGATCGTATCCTCTTTGAATCGAGCCAAAGGGCTACCGAATGGGTCAGGGCCAATAGCAATACTGTTTTCAGACGACGCCAAGATCTGGAATGCAGTAACAGAACCCGAGAGATTGCTATTACTTCAAGAAGCTTATCTATGGTCTTGGGAGAACTAAGTCGAATTCAATGTTTCTAAATGTAAAGTCCTATCCCTAAGCCACAGGAGTAGATTCTCGTAGTTCCTCCGAAATCACCAGCTGCCACATACCTCAAGTGAGAAAGAGTTAGATATAATTGTTCAAGAGAACTTAAGCTGCCCGATCAATTGCACTAGGGCTTCGTCCGATGCTGTGAAGAATGTCGGCTTCCCTAGGCGATTCTTTCGTCGAATCGAATCAGCGTTGTTCCCAAGTTTGCTATCAGTATACAGTCAACCGAACACAGAGTACGCCATCTAAGCTTGGAATTTATGGTTGCAATGTGATCGAAAGATGTTGGAGCAACCACAAAGGATCGCCACTAGGATGATCAGGGGGTTGAGCTCCCTCACCTACGAGGAGAGATTACGATCATCGGGACTATAATCTGCTTAGTACAGCCGAATTTGAGGAAAATTGATCTGGCATATCAAATACTGCAGAACCCAAAGCATTCATGGCGACCGCTGCTCGCTTAAACTTTAGGGTACCTCGTTTCAAGTTACTGATTTCAAAGTGTCGAATGGAATGCGGCTGTCAATCCTTTGTATTCCGACTGTGCCGTACTTGGAACACCCTTCCATCTCACGTTATTTGTGCACCAACTGTTGGATATTTCAAGCGGAGACTTGATCAAACCCTGGAACATTTCGAATTCCTAGACACCTAAAAAAACGCAAATTAGTTGAATACATTATCTGTCATCTCCTATCCAAAACTCTATGTAACATTTTGTTGCTGACAGAACATTCAACTGTGTTGATTTTTTGGGGGGGGAGGGGTGGATGGGCGGGGGACAAGAGAAGCATCAGCTTGTAAGTAATTCCCGTAATAAAACTTTGACTTTGGCTTTGAATAAAATGTGTCGGAAGTTACTTTTTCAGTTCAAATTTGTAACCGAAACAAAGCCCACCGAGAACTCAGTTTCAGCAGATGTGTTTTGGGTTAGGGTTTGGATGTAAGCAAGGTAGGATAGACGAGACGCATTCCCAATTATGCTGATCAAATATTCACCAGGTTAGGTTTGCCCAGCAATCTAAACAAAGGTCATCTTTCCACAAAAACGGTTGAGGAATAATAAGTGCACCCACCCACGTTCTAGGTACTTTACTTTGACTCTGTAAATCGAAAATGATATTATTGTTCATTGTGGCCGCCCTAAACCTAAAACTATGTGCTCTTCAGATCCGAGAACGGTATCTCACATATTCGCTCAACAGATTGGCTATCACGAAATTATCTCCCTTTAAAATGGTTTTGGTGTTGAGACGATATGCAGAACGGTATTCTTTTGCGATTAACTTGTTATGCTTAGCCCTGTTCATGCACGTTTTTGTTCAGTAATTCACACTCAAATACACTTGCAGATCTTGTTCACAAAGTAAACAGCTAGCTAGTTTGAAATCCGTCGTAAAATGGGACTACACAAAGGAAGGGTAAATTAGTCCGTTTCTCAATTCTTTCCTTAATCGTGGAGTAAAAATCATTCAATATACCAGACTGAACATGGCAGCGATAGTGATGGAAATAATGTTGGGCACATTGGCTCAACTGTTTTGGCCTTATTTCGTACAGAAAACAAACAAAGAAAGACGCTAACGCAGACTGGAATAATATCAGTCAAACAATTACATTCGTCGTTATTCCGGTGCGCTCATCTCTGCCCCTCCCCCCATTCCACAACCGCTAAAAGCACCCCATTCCCATACAGCTTCCATTTTCCGACCCAAATCTAACTTAAGAGAAGAGAGCTAACTTTTCAATCCCCTATCCGTTCTAGTGGGAAAATTTATCCAAGTAGTTAGATAAGGTAAGTGTCCGATGAGACGCAACCAAGTCTGCATATGAAAAGCAACTCATCGATCGTTTTCTATTAAAACAGCAAACGTTTTTGTAATGGTTGGTTATGGTGGTAGGTAGCTCTGCTTTCGTCCGGTTCAACACCACGCCTAACCTATCGGAGCCTTATGTGGTTCACAACTCCAAGTCCCGGGGCTTAGGTTGCGGGTTTACACCACTGAAAATCAGGTCCTCGTGATTATGGGGTTCGCCTCATCTGCTGTTCGTCACACTTGGGTGTGCAATAAAAAAACTTTTTAAATGAAACCCAAATCTCTTTTTGAGTGTAAACATGGGAAAACTGCGGGACACAAAATATCCGCCTAACTCACCAAAACAACTTGGAATACAATTGTTTGGTTCATGTCCTGATCGTCCAGATAGCGGCGCAGAATCGCCATTGCCTCAACTCTGCTGGATGAGAACAGATCGTTGAAACGAGCTATCAGATTCTGTTGGCGACTACGCTGAATCGGATCGTGTGGGCTCAGTGGACTGATACCGGTCGTATGGTGTTGCGAACCAGACGCATCATCGAATAGATCAGATCTGTCGTGGCAGGGACGAGGTCGGAAAAATTCAAATAAATGAGGAAAATTTCAAAAACATATGAAGATTCGAAGTGCAACCTCACCAACGATGAAATGATCTGTTACGAATTACGTTTCAATACTATTTAATGAAGAGTACCAGTATAAGTACCCACACTGCATCTTGTAATTTGCAGTTAACTCTTTCAAGCTTTACTTAAGTAACTGAGATGTATTTTGACAAGACTGCAAGTTACCTATACACATGGAATTCGTTTATGCAGCTGCAAGATTAACAAATCAACCAGGAAGGTTTAATACTGGTTTTCTGATAGTCGAAGATTTGGCAGTCTCCTGTCAGTATACTTGAAATCCGCATGTATAATTTTTCCGCAACTTCCTAACTTAAAATTCTGCATGCACTTTTTAAACGGTATTTTAAAGAGGCCATGTAGAAATAATAGCTAAGATTCCAAGTTATCTCGGTGATTTAGTTACCGCTAACCTTAATCAGGGTTGTGTGCCGCTTAAACACAAAATTCCCGGACATAAATACTCTAAATAGTATTCTCCTTGGTTGATTAACCTTTGATCATTCTTTTTAGCTTGGGTAAAAATTACTGTACTGAATAGCACTAAGACACGATCCAACAAACCGGTTGTTAGAATTTCATACTTTGAGAGTAGCCAGCAAAATTTATCGTTACTCTGATCACCAATGACCAATTGACAGTTTGGCAAGCGAGACTAACCTCGATCAAAGTTCAACTGGGGTTGGCACGTAGTCGAGAATTTCTTTATTGGTGATTGAACTATATTTCCCCTCTCCTTCGTTCGAAGTCTCAATGTATGATCTTCAGAGCAAACAAAAGTACAACCTAGTTGTTAGCACATACCTTCGTACTGAAAATTAAATACAGTAATACCAAAGCCCCAAAACCATGAGCAAAGAATGAAGCTGCTGGGCGTAGGCTAAAACATCCAACGGTGGAGACTAAACGCTGGAATACATCTGGATCAGGCCGGTCATGATGCTTTGGGCCACAATTGAATCTCACGTTTGCACTTACATGAGTAGAAGCCTGTGAAAACTCCAAATCCAGTTGGCTCAACGCAAGGTGTATCAGTGGACGGGTTTTAAGACTGTTTCTTTTTTCTAGATTGATGGTAGTCAAACGATACATATCGTCAGTTAACTCACTCACAACTTACCAGTTCAAAGCAAGCCCCATTTTTTAGTCCTTGAAGATAATATATTACTACTGTCAACATCTAAATGAATGTGACTCTCTTGCGGAATACCCATTACCCACTCACCCTATATCAATTTATAAGCGGCATAGATAGTCCACCAATAGCTTTCATTGTAGAAAAAACCACGTTGAAAACATGAATCCAAATTCCTCTCCTGCAAAGAACAAAGTCTGTGTTGAACACCCTAGGAAAACTAAAAGCATAACTAACCTACATATTTTAAAGTCATCGAGACTAAAATTAAGAGATACTTATTTGTAAAATTGACTTAGTCGTGATTTAAGTTACGCGGAGACCACACAAATGCTAATTATTTCTATAGGAAAACATAATCACGCAATTTCTTGTTGTTCATTTTGAGGACCTGTTCATGCATAATCCCTAAAAATAACCCCTTGAACATAAAAAGAACTGCATTTAATATAAAACCGTATTCGATAGACACAGAAACACGCCCTCACGAGTGGACAGGAATCAGGTAGTATCATCGTGAGTTGTGATTGAATTGCGGTTGCGGCCGTCCGCCGATTTGCAATTCCATCTCTATTCAATAGATTTATTTGAATGCCCGGAAATTTGTTATTTTCATTCTGGGATTTAGTGTCACATTTGCACAATGCAGTCAAATGAAAATAAGATGGCCGAGAAGCCCACTAAGCTTTTCGCAAGAAACAAATGGTTTTGACCTATTATTCGTTGTACTTTCGATTCGCTAATTTAAATTTCACATAGGAAGAAAGAAGTAAAATGCCGAACATTGGCTGTGTACACATACAAACAAAAACGAGAAACTCGCAGTGAATACGAGACATTTATCTAGTTTCTGTTAGTTTTTCTACTTGGTGTGGTTTAGCTAGTTCCTCTGTGCATCCGTTATTAGATGAAAACACTTTTGAATATCATAAGTGGATTGGATGTAAGAGTAAAGTAGTCATATCTACTGTGATGGTAGGTGCTATCACCAATAAAACAGAAAGGTGCGTACGAAAACATAGACGCTAAAAGGCATATATTCTTTAAATTATTTTAAATTGCGATTTCCCTGATCTTAGCTTTTGTTCATCAAAAGTCACCCTTTATGTAGTCTTAAAGGAAGCCGATTAAAGCTTAGACTTCTGTATCTATACGTATGGTTTTAGTTTATATCAAACTGCAGCAAAGATATTGGTTTTATAATAAGAAACCTACTCGGTCATTGGCTTCACCATCACATTATTCATCGAGTTGTTCTGCTTACGGGAGCCTTGTTCATCCATACTGCCACGCAGGAGACGCGTTTGCAGACGTTCGTTTTCCTCCTCCAATGACTGAACTCTACAATAGATTGCGTGCAACAATATAAATATATACGTGCGTATAGGAAGCCTCCATCATTTTTCGAAAAAAAACTAGAGCACATCAAGTACACATCACGTATCTGGAGGACAGATGGGTATGAACCCCATGATCTGTGCTTCGAGGAAAACTGCAATCCCTGATCCAACTATGGTGCCCAATTTCGCAAGAATGGCTTATCATCTGACAAAATAAGCTTCACTGCATTCAAATCAATAATGAAGATACCCATTCACCATTAGTGATATTTTTGGAATAGGTTAAACTTTGATAGCGGATTTTATTGTAAGATTTTGATATTCCAATCTTATATTCGCGTAAACGGAGCAAATCTATGACTGACTCGTAGGCTGTACACAATCTTTGTAGTTTAAATTGATCAGTTTGGTTTCGTAGCTCTCCGAATTATGTAAGTGTAAAGAAAACACCACCTGAATCGGTTATGAAACTTTTACATGGTTTAACTGTTACTCCTTCAAAGTTAGAAGTCTGGCACAAATCGGACACGATGATATCTGACAATACCAAACTCAGAAACATTATTCGATAAGTTATTAACATGACCTTGGGATTGCAGAAAATTAATCAAATATTTTATTTTCAAATTTGACCTTTTATACAAAGTGCAGGCTCCTGTATCTGATCGGATGACAAAAATGAGAAGTGAAAATATTGGTGTTAGTTTAAGGCTTTCTCACGATTACAAGATGTAAAGGGCTTTACGCCAACCCCTCCTTCCCTCAGATGCACATAATTAGTAAATACATCAAATAACAACCACATCAATGAACCATTAAAAATACTGTATATGAATTTCAAGGAAACAATCTACAGAAAGTGGATACCAACGTCCTAGAACATTACTAATGTTTAAACGCTACCAAATCATACTGCTACGCTATTACAATGATTAAGAAGAAACTATATCATCTATTCCAGGTTATCGAATATGAGTAGGAAAAATATTGCTCACTTTGATTTTAAATCATGGAGATGGTGATCTTTGGCATACTTATCCTGCTTCATTTCGTTTTTACGACGACCGGAATCGTCCCGCGAATAACCCGTTCTAAGGATAATTGGAAAAATAAAAAATTACTCACTTGAAATCAGTAGTCAGGTTGTGAATGTTTCCAACCGAGTCATAACCCTAAAGGTTAGTGCTTAGATGAGCGGGGTATGTGGCCCGCAACAAGCTCGCAAAGATGGGTTGTGCTATATCATGTAAATGGCAAATTACAAACCTCAGCTTCCCGGTGGCCGAGTGGGTAGCATGCTTTCGTTCTGCCTATGAGGTCCCGGGTTCGATCCCCAGTTGGATCGCTGGACTCGCACTGCTGATGAGACCCAACCAGGTCGAAACAGCTGACCAATGCTTCCTGTTTTTTTAGTTCACGCTTTATTTGCTATATACACGACGAATTCAGCTTTGAAAAATAAACTGCACATCAACAGTGTCCCTATGAAAATACCTGATCATTGAGAAAATCACATTTGTAGTTTGCTCAGTCGGAAGAAAAATTCCTCAGTAAAAACAAATTAATTTTTCAAACAGAACAAGAAAAAGGTGCTGGTTGATTCTCATGTCTTTTAATTCATTCTTGCTCAGTGTTTTTAATGGAAAACAACCGTGTTTGAAACTGTGCCGTTTGTTTATTTTACTCGAGTGTACTGTCTTCTAACTAAGTTGTATTATCATTCTGCATAGTTGCCCAATTTCGACGTCTTCCATATATTCCAGCATCATTCAAGCATAAATATGCAAATGCCCTCGTGTATCATGTTTTCTACCAGCATAATTCAACAGTTAAACCACTACAACATATAATAACGTGTTCTATAATATTTTTCTTGGGAAAACAAAGACAATTTCCAGAAAAGCTTCATGAAGCATTATTTGTAAAGTCAGATCAACCTCGCAGATAATTAATATATGTTTGTTATTCAAACTACGCTTTTCGCAGTTATTTTTAAGAGGAAACATCAATGCATTTGTTTCATTTAAAACGTAGACAATCGCAGGGTGTTTGTTCCCAAATCTCACTAAAGATTACTAATACGCTTGCCCCAATGCTGAATATTTCTCTTTATTACAGTATAGATAAACCTAAAGGCACGTGTATTCACCGAATAAATCCGCTCAATCCTAAATAAGTTTTATTCAGAAGAACCAAATGTAAAACTGTTCAATTTGTTTAAATAGTAAACGCAACAGGTAATTATCTAAGTTTATGATGTATGAAGCCTTATTACAATGTCAAATTACAAATTGTTTGTTTTGGAATAATAGACAAACGACCTCAAAGACATTAACTAAGCGCCTTCATAAATCACGTATCTAACCACTATTTGTTTAACCTTTAGAATGAAACAAAACTATTTTGAAAATCAGAAACTTCGTCAAAAACAGTTCGGCTTTTGTATTTCTTACTCTCCCCGTGAACGCGGCGGTTGACCCATATCCAACTCCAATTTTTCCAACGACTTTGCATATGCCCTTTTTAATTCATCCAATTCCGTTGCTCTTGAAGATGATGCGTTTAAAGCAGACATACTGGTGGAGGATGTTATTCCAGAGGAACCAAGCCCAGACCCGAGCAACGGAAGAAGTCTAGATTTGATCGCCGAAGCGCCTCCATAAAGACCACCTGCCAATTGAACACCAAGCGCAAACAAATAAATAAATATGGATATCGCCTTGAAAACGGTTACCCACGGTAACCGAAACGTCGGTGAAAACAGCTCTCTACCGACGTCGCTGTGTTATTAACATTATGAAATTCACAATGAATATGGATTGATTCAAAATTGCATTCTGTCCTTACAAAAAATAAAAGGATCACAAAAACCAGAACAGACAGCAAAGTTTTGACATTTTCAGGTGATACTCAAGCTTTCAGATGCAATTTATTCATCAGGCGCTCAAAAATGTTAGTAGTAATCACTTAGTTTTATGCAGATTAGTCAACATTGTAGAAACTAGTGAGAGCCTGACATGAGTAAATTTCAGGCTTTATCTTTAATCCACGAAACAAACTTGCAATACCATAAGAGATAATCATTGAATTATGCTTTCATTCACTTATTTTACTAGTGAATTATTTCCAAAAGGAATGCGTAGAAATTATTGAAACTGTTACAGCTCATAAATAAGAAATAAATCTCTAGAATTTGCTTAAATCCAAATTTGCATTACTTAGTATGACTGACCAAGCGATAAACCATGAAATTGCGTGAAGTATCTCCAACGTTGTCTGTTTATTTCCATCAGGAACCAATCACAATCTAATATCCTGATACCCCTCGTTATATATTTTCGGTAAGTAAATGAATAACAAATATCTGGTAGCAAATGTCATTTTAAGTGATTTTTTATAACGAATTTAAGGGGGATCAATTCTTAGCTGCTGCGAGCTAGTGCACACTGGCAGTGCCCATGCAACTGCTGCGTTTTTGTAAACACCAAATTATATCTGATCGCGTTTGAATTACTCTCATTAATAACATAGATCGTTCATAATGAGTAACATTGTATGATTACTGAACAGATATACATTGCAAAAGAATTCAGATGAAGGAGTTAATCATTGCAATAAACAATCCTTACACTTCTCGGTCAGGATTCATCATATTGTTAGGATACTATTTTTTTGGAACCATATTCCCTTTATCGAAGCTTTCTTGATTTATATCTACTTAGTCCCATAAAGCCCAATCCTCGAATAACAATCTCACTCCAACCTAATTCCATCCCACTCGTACTTCACAGGAGACTCTTTTGAATGCAAAAGAGGTTCAATCGGAACTTATCCATACCAACGAACTCTCCTGAGACATGAAAAGGAAGTTTCGGAATGAGAACGCTTTACTGGGACCTAAATATGGTTCAAATTTACTGACTGTGATATTTCTTGTCATGCGTCTTTACAACTTATAGTTGTAAGTTGTTCCTAGCATCAGGATTAATCTTGACAACAGCTAATACTAATGATACATTTTGGTACATTTGAAATCAGAATTAATTCAAACTACATTTTATTAGGATGATTACAGAAACTATGGACAGGTTCCACTTTGCTCGAATGAGATGTCAATTATACAGTCATGTGAAAACAGGTTAGATACCTAACTGTCATATCGAACAATGATCATTGTTTATCTTACTGAAAGTTCGAACTTTCAATATGGTGAACTTCACCATATTGAAGTTTATTCTTCACTATAAATCCTCGGAAAATTTTATTTATAAGCTTACACCAAAAAAGAATCGTTCAAAAAAAATTTTCTAACCTACCTTCAGTGGCACATATGCTTAACAGTCGAAAGAGTTGACCCTGGAGGCGAGCATTCAGCTCAATGAGTTCGCATCCAGTTGCAATATTCTCGTCGCATGTATTTTTCTAGGAAATAATTTGATGCAATGAAAATCCTACGTGATACAGTTTCAGCCATTTTTCCAGATTTTCATGCAGTACCAAGAACGCAGCAGAATTGATCAGTTGACGTAAAGGTTCAGCCATTTTTAGTGGTATATAATGGCCTGCAATAAGAAGAAGCACGTTCCGTCAGCTTTAAAAGCGGAAATTCTTCATATATCATTGTTAAAACCGAGCGGAAACTGATAAACATGATTCTTAAAAATATTATTAAGCATAAAGTAACAAAATACATAGATTCGAAACTAATGATTTCATTCAATAGTTGAATAATGATCACTTTTCATGTTATATTAATTCATTATAAAAGCCACCAATGCTGAAATCGTGGACAGATACGTGCGGTTTGAGAGCGAAAAAAACGCCCCGAGGGTGTTGGCATGCCAACACCTCTTTGGATTCCTGTGTATCGATACGAATCCATGTTTGTATATAACCAATTCTTAGGACTTGTTTCGGAACCCAAGAAAATCATCTGAATCCATTGTGGTTGCATGTGTCCTAAATATATATGCAATCGTATACGATTGCATCACTATAAGGATCACTATAGCGATACGAAACTAAACGGCATTCATCTTCATCTTCATCCACGTGATGCATGAAGATTGTGACATCGCTATCAATATTGCGATCACACGACTTTGGGCAGCAACTATCAATTGATCAACAGGAAAAAGGCAGATCTCCCGGAGTAGTGAGCCCTCTATATAAAATACCTCTCAGTTTGTTACTCCGACAAGAAGTGACTGTTAAATGAAGGGCACATTCTTCTATATAACGCGGCGTTTTCAACGACGACCTCTAACGTACAAAAAGCACTCAGTTAAACAAACGGAAC